ATTATATATATATATATATATATATATATATATATATATATATAAATAAAAGAAATAATAGTGACAAAAATGTAATACTAAATGAATCTACACATTATTATATGTACAGAAACTGTCCTGTTTATTTGGGCTATTTTAGTGTCTAACGTACAGTTCAACCTGAAGTTCACATCCCTGCCGAATTCAGATTTATTTTATACTGTGACTATCCATGCTCCATGCTTCTCCCAAAAGTAAAGATGTACACGAGGCATCTGTGCAAAATCAACATTTCTCAGCTTTTTTTTTTTTTTGTTTTTTTAAAACATTTTAAGTCAGATTTTGCCAGGGGGTGAATAATTTTGGGCTTGACTATATATTCTTAAGATGCCAAAATGGAGCTTTTAAATACAGATGCGTAGTTAAATCACTGTGCGCGTTACCTTTTAAAGAGTGTCTGAGCTCATATTTCTGAAAGGTTTTTTCAAATGTAATTTACTGGAAATCGTTTAGCACTGACTTTCGGGTGGTGTGATGCACACACTTCTCAGATGAATGTTATGACTAGGCCCACACGGAAATCTGTGCCCACAGATTTTTAGCTCATCATTGATTCTGTTTATTAACTTGAGTAAATGTGTGTAGATCTATTCAAGTTTTTTTTAAATTAATTATAGTAATATTATTGACTAATATGAAAATGTTCATCTGATTTATGTACACTGCAATTTGTGCAGTAATGTTTTCTGTCTTCAGTAGAGATATTATATGAGAGACTTGCTTTGTTTACCAAAGTGGATCTGATTGGATTTGCCTTTTAAACATGAAACAAAAGTTAAAGTATTATTTTTTTATTTCATATATCACGGTTTTAGTGATGATACTCCCAAAATAATTCTGCAGATTTTTATCAAAATTCTCTACAGAAATAGCATAAAACGTCCACAGATTGCGTTTGGCCCTAGTGTGACTACATTAATTTTACTAAATTTTATAAATATACATTTGCTAAATTTACAAAACTAGTTAAGCTTATGATGCAGGATTGAATGCTGTCACAGAAAATACACTCAAATTGTCCAGTAATGTGCAAGTTGGTAAAGTTGTTGTCTCTTAATTAACAAATATTTTCATTTACTCGTGATTTAATCATTTTGCTCATGTGGCTTCAATTGAATATTAATGAGATGATGTCATTACGCTGTTGTTTTGCCGACAGCCAATCACTGCTCTGCTGATCATCTCAGATCTGAGGCCTGTTGCACAGATCCAGTTGTAAGTTTCGGGTTGACAAATCTAAAGACATGCAAACTGCCCAAGATCAGCTCTAGATATGAACCGTCTGTGTTCGCTCAGGGTTTATCCCACAGTTAGGGATTAAGTTAGTCACGTACAACAGTTTCAGTTAGTATACTTTCCACTGCATGATTCAGCAGATTAACTAAATTCTGTGCCGAAATTGCAAAACTGTTTTGGCCCTGGAAAATAGTGGTGTTTTTATTATTATTATTTCAAATGTAGAGACAGCTATTATGAACAGTTGAAGTCAGAATTATTAACCCCCCTGAATTATTAGTTCCCCTTTTTATTATTTCTGAATTCTGTCTAACAGATTTCTCCAACACATTTCTAATCATAACAGTGTTAATAACTCATCTCTAATAACTGATTTATTTTCTCTTTGTCATGATGACAGTAAATAATATTAGACTAGATATTCTTCAAGACACTTCTATACAGCTTAAAGTGACATGTAAAGGATTCACTAGGGTAATTAGGGTAACTAGGCAGGTTAGGGTAATTAGGCAAGTTATTAATGATGGTTTGTTTGGTTAACTTTTGAAACATTTTTTGAATAAAAGTTTAATTTAAAGGGGCTAATAATGACACTAAAATGGTGTTTAAAACATTAAAAACTGCTTTTATTCTAGCTGAAATAAAACAAATCAGAATTTCTCCAGAAGAACAGATATTATCAGACATGCTGTGAACATTTCCT